CCTATCAGACATATCTAGCAAAGATGTCAAGTGTGATAGAACCACAGTCTTACAAGGAGGCGGCATGTGATCCTAGGTGGACTGAGGCAATGAATGCTGAGACAAAGGCACTGCAAGATAATCATACTTGGGAAGTAGTTGAACTTCCTGATGGAAAAACACCTATAGGTTGCATATGGATATTCAAAGTTAAGTACAAACCTAATGGAGAGGTTGAAAGGTTCAAGGCAAGGTTGGTGGCAAAGGGGTACAGCCAAAAAAAAGGTATAGATTATCAAGAAACCTTCAGTCCTGTTGTAAAGATGAAGACTGTTAGGACTGTCTTGACTATTGCAGCACAACAACACTGGCAGATACATCAAATGGATGTATTTTATGCATTTCTTCAAGGAGATTTACCTGATGAAAGCTATATACAATTACCTCAGGGATTTGAGAGTCAGGGGAAGAATAAAGTGTGTAGACTCACTAAATCCCTCTATGGATTGAAACAGGCTCCCAAACAGTGGAATGCAAATGTAGACTCACTAAATCCCTCTATGGATTGAAACAGGCTCCCAGACAGTGGAATGCAAAGTTGTCTGAGGCATTGTTAAGGTTTGGGTTCAAGCAAAGTGAAAATGATCACTCTTTGTTTATCAAGCAAACATCAACAAGTTCAGTGTTTGTTCTTATATATGTGGATGATATGCTAATTACAGGAAGTAATGTTCAGCTCATTAAAGAAACAAAAGGTAAACTGAATCAAACCTTCAAGATGAAGGACTTAGGAGAGTTAAGGTTTTTTCTGGGGATTGAGTTTGCCAGATCAAGTAAGGGTATACTGATGCATCAGAGGAAGTATGCATTAGAACTCATTTCTGAAACAGGACTGGGAACTGCAAAACCAGCAGTAACTCCTATTGACAATAACAACAAGCTAAGCTCAAGACAATATGATGATCACTTCAATTCAGAGAATGTACAAGAAGATCCTCTAGCTGATCAAAGCCTATATCAGAGACTGATAGGAAAGCTACTATATCTCACTATGACAAGGCCTGATATTGCATTTGGAGTGCAAACCTTGAGTCAGTTCTTACAACAACCTAAAAAGACTCATATGGAAGCAGCTTTAAGGATTGTTAGATACATAAAAGGTCAGCCAGGTCAAGGGATATTATTATCCAGCATTCAAGATACCAATCTCACAGCTTTTTGTGATGTTGACTGGGCATCTTGTCCTCTTACAAGGAAGTCTGTAACTAGGTATTTTATCAAGTTTAGTAACTCAGTGGTGTCATGGAAGTCTAAGAAACAATCTATTGTTTCTAGAAGCTCAACAGAAGCTAAGTACATGAGTATAACTACAACTGTAACAGAAATCATCTGGATGTTGGGCTGTTAAAAGACTTAGGGATTGAAGTGCATAAACCTGTAGAAGTATGCACAGACAGTAAAGTAGCCATCTTGTTAGCTACTAATCCTGTGTATCATGAGAGGACAAAACACATTGAGATAGACTATCACTTCATAAGGGAAAAAATTGTACAAGGAATAATATGTACCAAGTACACTCCTACACATGAACAACCAGCTGATATGCTTACAAAAGGGTTGACTAAAATTCAACATCAGTTGCTCAGTTCCAAGCTTGGAGTTCAGAACATATTTTCACTTCCAAGCTTGAGGGGGAGTGTTAAGATTAGTGAGCAAAAGTAGTTAGTTCAATATTCAAAATAGGAAGTGTATAAGTTAGTTGGTCGGTTATATAACTACCTATTCAAAAGTTAGTTAGGAGCTCTAACTAACTAAGTTCCAGAAGTGTTGTATATATATAATCATTCTTGTACTCATTTGTTTAAATGAATCAATAAGAGAATTGTGAGAGAACTTATAACTCTCAGATATAAGCTTCTTCTATAACAGATTGATTCTTCTTCTTCTTCCTCGTCTATTTCTTCTTGTTCTTCTTCTTCTACTATTTCTCTAGTTCTAATCTTCAAGAACTACAGTTTCGACCTTTATTGAATTTGTTGGCACCATGAAAGATGAGACAACTCACTTTGTAAATTGTGGTCACTTGAGCTTATTGAGGATGAACAAACAACAGTAGTTGATCATATACGTACTAGACTTCTTAATCTTATTTCATTGTCAGAGATTTTTACACTCTTTTCTTTTTTCGCCCCATGTCGCCACACGGGAGGAACATAGTGTTGGGAAAGGCAAGGCACTAACAAGAATGTCAGATAGGATAGCAGCAGAATAATACCCAAATCTAAACTTTCCCTTTCAATTTGAACCAAGAGAAGACAAACCAATCAAGCAATATGAAGAATGGACAACAAGTATATCAACCAAACTAAAGCAACAAGATAAGAATAAACCAATCACACAAGACACAACAATTTACGTGGAAAACCCTTCGATGTGAAGAGTAAAAAACCACAGGACCAAAAGCTCCACTATAAACACCAAGAGTTACAAAATTGTTCTCCAAAATTG